ACATGCATATGAGGTGATTGGAAATATCATGGCCTGTGTCAGGCTCACTTTAGTCCTCAAGGAGACATCCTTGCTCCTCAGCACTTGAAAGAGGTCCCTGGCCTCAATTTGTCTGGTGCTATACATCATTTAATGTCCTGTTGCTTCCATTGGCATCGATTGTAGAACCAAGCAATGTGAAGTCTTTGACAACTTCAATCTTTTCTCTATTTATTGTGATGCTGCTTATTGGTCCAGTTGTGAGAATTTTTGTTTTCTTTATGTTGAGATGTAATCCATACTGCAGACTGTATTTTTCAATCTTCATCAGTAAGTGCCTCAAGTCACCCTAACTTTCAGCAAACAAAGTTATATCATCTGTGTATCGCAGGTTGTTAATGATTCTTCCTCCTATCTTGATGCCACATTCTTCTTCATATAGTCCAGCTTCTCGGATTATTTGCTTGGCATACAGATTGAATAAGTATGGAGAAAGGATACAAACCCTGACACACTCCTTTCTTGATTGTAAACCATGCAGTGTCCCCTTGTTCTGTTCGAATGACAGCCTCCTGATCAATGTACAGGTTTCTCATGAGTACAATCAAGTGTTCTGGAATTCCCATTCTTCTCAATGTCATCCACAATTTGTTATGATCTTCACAATCCAATGCTTTTACATAGTCAATAAAACACAAGTAAACATCTTTCTGGTATTCTTTGCTTTGATCCAGGATCCATCCGACAGCAGCAATGATATCCCTTGTTCCACATTCTCTTCTGAATCCAGCTTGCACCTCTGGAAGTTCTCTGTCAATATACTGCTGCAACTGTTTTGAATTATCTTCAGTAAGATCTTACTCGTGTGTGATATTAATGATATTGTTCGATAATTTCCACATTCTGTGGGATCACTTTTCTTTGAAATGGGTACAAATATGGATCTCTTCCAGTCAGTTGGCCAGGTAGGTGTTTTCCAAATCTCTTGGCATAACCAAGTGAATGCCTCCCATGGGACATCTGTTTGTTGAAACATCTCAATGGGTATTCTGTCAATTCCTGGAGACTTGTTCTTCACCAATTCATTCAGTGCAGCTTCAACTTCTTCCTTCAGTACCATTGGTTCTTGATCATATGACACCTCCTGAAATGGATGAAGATCTACCAGTTCTTTTTGGTACAGTGACTCTGTACAGTGTACCAATCTTCCATCTTCTTTTGATGCTTCCTGCATCATTCAATATTTTGCCCATAGAATCTTTCAATATTGCAACTCGAAGCTTAATTCTTTTCCTCCATTCTTTCAGCTTGAGAAATGCCAAGTGTGTTCTTCCCTTTTGGTTTTCTAACTCCAAGTCTTTGCACCTTTCATTATAGTAATTGGCTTTGTCTGCTTGAGCTGCTGTTTGAAATCTTCTGTTCAGCTCTTTAATCTTGTCATTTCTTCCATTTGCTTTAGCCATCCTCTGCTCAAGGACAACTTTCAGAGTCTCTTCTGACATCCATTTTGGTCTTTTCTCATCTTTTTAATGACTTCTTGCTTTCTTCATGGATGATGTTCTTGATGTCATCCCACAATCCCTCTGATTTTTGGT